TGTATGGAACTCTCCCTTTGTTAACATGGTTATGTAAGGAACTTTCCCTTTGTTAACATGGTTATGTAAGGAACTCTCCCTTTGTTAACATGGTTATGTAAGGAACTCTCCTCCTATTTCATCAGATGTCTATAAATTTAAACCTAACTAAGATACCTGTTTCGCAAGAAAGGAAAATCATTTCTAGTTTTAGAAGTTTCTGTAAGTCTCATCTAATTGATGAAAAATGCCAGCAGAGGCTAAGTTAAAAAGGACAATTGGGTTAGTCAGTGCAGTGTAATAGATTATATCCATATTTTTTTCATTTAACTTTCGTGTTGCTAGATTTCCTGACTCCATTATGATATAATATTTGTTTGCTGGTTGGTGCATTGCTAGGTTCATGTAACATGACTCATGCCCTCTTTGTCTTTGTTGCTATATATCGTTTAGTTTGAAATTGGTTAATTTGAAATTACGGCTTTCATTGAAAGGTAAATTCTGGCCCTCGGCAATGCTATGTCATTGTTTTCATCTCGCTTATATTGAAAGCCGCCACAGCCAGCCGTCACGCTATAGTGAAATATAATATTTTATACGTTTTCGTGATGGTTGACTTTGGTGTTGCTAGGTAACATGACTGAAATATAATATTTTATACGTTTCCGTGATGGTTGACTTTGTGTTGCTAGGTTACATGACTGAAATATAATATTTTATACGTTTTCGTGATGGTGGACTTTGGTGTTGCTAGGTTACATGACTAAAATATAATATTTTATATGTTTTTCGTGATGGTCGACTTTGGTGTTGCTAGGTTACATGACTGAAATATAATATTTTATACGTTTTCGTGATGGTGGACTTTGGTGTTGCTAGGTTACCCAACGCCAAGCATGCATTGGGAGAAGCTACAGAATGGCCGACGTATGATGATCAATGATGGAGATGATTACAGGACGGAGAAGATGTCGTCGGCTGTGACTCTGATTTCTGACACGTGGTATGCGCTGAAGGTGAAGAACGTCCAGGCCAATGACTACACAGAGTACTACTGTGTTGCCAATAATAAATATGGTACCAATTATACCACCATCAAACTGTTCGGTAAGTTACCTACAGAGGCATCCATTTAAATACTGAAATCTGATAATGTGTGGTATGAAATGTTTGTTATGTATAAATATACGTGGTTGTCATGGTTACTATGGAACCACAAAAATAAATACAACAAATGTTATTGATATACTTGACTGCTGTTTGTGTATATGGGGTATCCATGAAACTTTGTTTCATTAAATTATTTAAATGACTTCATATCACGAAAGAAAATACCAAGAAAATACCAACGAATATTTCACATTCTACAGTAATCTACCAATGGAAAGCAACCCAACTTCTGATACATCAATAATTTAACCTTTGTTTAAAAAAAATCAATTACTTATACCTATTGAAATAACTCATTCAAAGGAATGTCAGAGATATATTATATCATAGAGATACGTAAAATGGTTAGTTAGACTGTATTCATAATCACCACTATCACTATTGAAATATTCCACTCGGACCTTTTCAAAAGAGCTATTTCATTAAAATCACATGTTACCATGCATATGATAGAAGTGTAGTTATTCAAAATTTAAATGTTTAAAAATAGAAATGAAAAGATCAAACAAAACCTGTACGGGTCAAACTTGTAACCTTCACATTACAAAGCCTACACATCATCAATGTAGCCTGGGAAATATACATAGATGGTATCAAAATGACCGTCTAATTTATGGGCCACAGAGCATATGTAAAACTGGACGGGGGAAGTTACTCTAAGCTAGAAAAAACACTTTGGGTTAATACTCATGGTCACAAAACTGCGAGTGGAACTCTTCATTGCGACTTAAACTAATTCAGTGATACCCTTTACCTTAAGGCTCAGGTATTTGAGTAACACGATTGTTTGATCTAAAAAGCACTTACAGGTATTCCTTGTTATCCACCGGTGTATCATTTTTCATACACTAACCTCCGGTATATTATTTTATATACACATATTATTTTATATACACATATTATTTTGTATTTTATATTCACATATTATTTTATATACACGTATAAATGCTTATTGCCTTAAATAGGGATATTTTTACTGTGGTTATAATATTGTGCATTTTGTGTATTACAAAATTTGAATTTGTAAAAATTAAACACGTACAAATTTAATGACTAAAATAATTTCACATTGTCCCAATTCACCAAGAATAAAGACCAATAAAAGTAAAACTACAGGTAGTTTGAAGAAATTTTACAAAAATTAACCTACTTAGAAAATATGCTGATTTACGGTTACGTAAGTCTATATTATATATACATACATGGTTCCTTTTTAATCATTTTGAGTGTTGTTTTCTATAAAATGTTTTCTGCATAATACATAGATTTTAATGCCTTCTATTCTATTTTAACCAGCTTTTGTAGTATCTTATTATATATGTATATATATTTTATGTATATCTTAGCGCTTCATGCCTTATAAGTGCTCATTATAATATGTTCAATTTACAAACTTTACTATAACAATGCTTGTTGTGGCTAGTATTTAAAAATTAAAAAAACTGAAAATTCTGCTTTGCACCAAGGGAACTTATCCAGTCAAATATGATGAGCTAGAGTGATATTGATTTATGTAATACCAGCTTTTCGATATTAAGATAAAGGGTACCTCTGGTTAAATATAGCTTACTAACTATCTATCTATCTATCTGTTATACTCCACATAGAGCAGAACGACTTTAATGTGGGGTTGGGGGACTGTAACTCTTGCAACTGAAACAAAAAATATATTTTTTCTGATTTTATTTTCTTCAAAATATTCTATGTTAAAGAAAAACAAGTATTTTTTTTTTAAATGCAGAGAGGTTTAACTCAGAACTTTATCACTGTCAGTCCTATACCTAACCAATCTTGCCACCCAGGAATTATACATGCACAGCATCAAAATGAGAGCCTAATTTATTTGCTGCAACACACATTGGGAATCTTTACAAGGGAAGTAACTCTGAGCCAGAAAACCTTTTAGCTGCTTCTTTCAGGGATATTGTGAAGGAAAAATGAGTTCTAAACGGAACTCTTTGTTGTTATTATAACTACGAGGTACCCTTTAGCTTATATTAGAACTTCCTGTTGTAATAGTTTAACTTTCTTAGTTTACTTTTCTCTTCAGTATCTCCCACCAAGTTGGTTTATGTGTTTCTGAGTGTGAATGAAACTGACTATTTTCACAATTATTGTAACAAATAAAAGTAACAATTGATCTTCAACTTTAAAAATTATTGAAGCAATGCTCACTCTGTTTGAGGTAAACAAAATATTTTGTTTCCTGACAAACGTACCGAGCATTATTTTTGTTAACAGAATTATAACTTACAGTTTCTGGAGTTTTTCTGCAACTGCTAAACAAGTCAAGTGAAATTGATAAAATTGTATAAAGATTATTATTTCATTCACAATCTGTGAAACATGTAAACCAATTTCAGTGGTATAGTTAGTGATCCACAGCCACATTGTGATTTACACTCGGCCCTCTGTATTTGATGTACTCTGTATTTTGGCATTACCATATTTAGCGGTGATAAGCCCCACCCCCACTTTTCGTTGCTTTCTGTGCATAGATTAGGTGCCAAGTAATAAGCCTGCCCCCATGTCCTCAGGTTCTTCAGCACACTGAAAGGCTTGTTTGTACTGTTGTACGTCAGTAACATACATACAATGACCCAGGATATTATGGTGTAACAGACTAATGAATAGTAATTTAACTTATTTGTCAACAATACATTCATAAAGTTCTGTAAATATAATATTGTCGCACACCATTGAAGTATTCTGAAACAATTTGATTTCACTCCAGCTTCCGTATATAAAAATTGGTGGAAAAAAAATATAGCCAGGTACATCAAATACCGTGTACATCAAATACATCAAATACCGTGTACATCAAGTACAGTGATGATCAATGTTGATTTAGTGAAATCTCGTTGATATGGCGAAAACTTGTTGATTCTGACATAAATATCAATATTCCCTCGAGATCTAGGGTTTGGGGCTTTATCAGGGAAAGAATGGTCTTCATCTTAATCACACTGAAAAACAAGAAATTTACTCACAAGCAGGAAGTTTTCTGCAGGGTAACTCGGACTATTTTTACACATTTACCAGATCAGGAAAATTTCCTCATCTAATTTAGATTAATAGACTATTATAGACTACTATTCAGAGGAAAGAGTTTGAGCCAGGATTAACGAGATTAACTGATCAGATCTTACCTTGATTTATAAGATAATCTTATCTCACCTGTGATGAGCATGATGGCATAAATATTGAGCTTGGCATAACTTACTATGGAATTCTGTGCTGATTATTGAAAGGCTTTTATCAGAAATATAAGGATTTCATTTTTAGGAGATTTGTAATACTGTTTAGACAGGGTGGGTTTGAATGCCAAGTATAGGTGTATCACAGAGGAGATAGGTAGTAGGGCTTTCAACTGACCCTTGACATTTATCAATTTCAGAAGTCAAATAGAATTTCCCCTGAATTTCGGAGAGTAAAAACATACTTTATACCAGTAAATTTTCGCTGCTGTTAATTTTTTTACTCTCTAATGAGGGTGAATTTATCTTTACAGCGAACATTTGTAAACAACATTATAGACATAGTAATTAAATGTTAAGGGCGAAATAAAAAATGTGCCAATATGGGTTTTACAAGCAAAGGGCGAAAGTTTGACTGGGCGAAAATTTCCCTGAAATAGACTAGTTCTTTTAACCCATTCACCCCTAAAGTCACATTTGAACCTTACCATACCAAAGACTGGGAAAGTCCAGTATAAAAATGTAGGGGCGAATGAGTTAAATCTTATTAAGAGCCAAATTAAGTTAATTTTGGGTGTCGAGAACATCCTGTCAAGGTTCTACTGAAAGCCCTGCATAGAAAGGTGCTAAACTGTGTGTAACTTATGTGTAATCTGTGTGTAATCTGTGTGTGTGTAATCTGTGTGTAACTTATGTATCTAATTCCTATATTACAGAAACCATGGAATGTCAGGGACCCAACTGTCAATCTATCAGGACGGGCGGGTCGAACGCCTTGTGTGCCTGTACCCTTACCCTCATCTCAACATTTATCTCTGTCCTAGTCCTCCGCTTCCTCAACTACTGAGGCGAAGACGCTTCAGACCACCTCACCCTGTGTAACTCTTCCTCATTATCCAATTCCGTCTTTGCGTATTTCAGAGTTATCTTCACTTGTGAGCAGGTATCAATTGTTACGTCATTGGTTTGTGTGAGAAAATTACGTCGTTTTCTCAAAAATTGATGACGTTACTCTCACAAACCAATGAAGTACCAATCAATACCTGCTCACAAGAGAAGATAACTCTGCAAAACGAAATGACGGAATACGTACACACCACAGATCAGGGAGGGTATATAACCTTTCCTTGTGGAATGCTACACACACCACAGATCAGGGAGGGCAATTATACACGCTATCTCTGCTTACTTCTCTGATTTATCTAACAGAAACAAACCAAACTGTGTGGTTTTATTTATGACAGTTTGTACTCAATGTTGTCACACCTTCACAATCGTCTTATGCTTAAATCATTCATCCCCGAAGTTACATAATGAACTGTTCCAACCTTTGGGTTGGAAGAGTTCAAATTTGTTTTCAGGGGTGAATGAATTGATGAGAATGTTACAACACATATCTCACATAGGCATTAGATGCTTAGTAGACTCTCCCTAGCTATTGTTTACCTGAACACCTCCCTAGCTATTGTTTACCTGAACACGTCTCCCTAGCTATTGTTTACCTGAACACCTCTCCCTAACTATTGTTTACCTGAACACCTCTCCCTAGCTATTGTTTACATGAACACCTCTCCCTAGCTATTGTTTACCTGAACACCTCTCCCTAGCTATTGTTTACCTGAACACCTCTCCCTAACTATTGTTTACCTGAACACCTACCTTTATTTTCTTAGCTATGTAAATATTTACTTTCCTAGACACCTTTTAGTAGCAATCTGCGATTGAAATATTTACTTATCTAAAACACCTTCTATAGACATCAGCTATATAGATATTTGCTTACCTTATCACCTACCTATAGACATCAGCTATATAGATATTTGCTTACCTTAACACCTACCTATAGACATCAGCTATATAGAAATTTGCTTACCTTAACAGTTACTCTTAGACATTTGCTATATAGATATTTGCTTACCTAAAATACCTACCTATAGACATTTGCTATATAGATATTTGCCTAAACACCTATTTTTCATACATTACATGCTATATATATATTTGCCTACCTAAATACCTACCATTAGACTTTCGCTATATAGCTATTTTCCTCCCTAACACCTTAAGTCTTTCCTTTTGAAGACTATCCTATGAATACCAGTGATAATTCCATGATCATAAGTGTTATTTGTGTGTTACAGAGACCATGGACTGTCAAGGACCAAACTGTCCGTCTATCAGCCTTGGGGGGGCGAGTGGCCTCGCTGCATGTACACTTACAATGTTCGTCACCTTTGTCCTCATCCACCTTTTCAAATACTGACCACACTGTCATACACTACACACACACTGTAAACGACAGAATCAGAAGGATATAGAAATGTTTATAAAGACTTTGATGTGGTGTGGGAACAAATCTTCTCATTTAACTCCTCTTATACTGACCACACTGCCATACACTACACACACACTGTAAACGACAGAATCAGAAGGATATAGAAATGTTTATAAAGACTTTGATGTGGTGTGGGAACAAATCTTCTCATTTAACTCCCCTTATACTGACCACACTGCCATACACTACACACACACTGTAAACGACAGAATCAGAAGGATATAGAAATGTTTATAAAGATTTTGATGTGGTGTGGGAACAAATCTTCTCATTTAACTCCCCTTATACTGACCACACATCACAGACACACAATTTCTTTTTCCAAAGACCTGTTGTTATGGTGCTTAAAATGCTTTGATAGGAAGTTAGTGGAAACAAAACTAATCGGTCAGATTGCCGTTGATGATGTTTATACTTTAATTACTTCTGACACAGACGGGCTATTGATATAGATACATATTCAGCAAAGTGGCTACACCTATCAACACATCATCATATAATATACAAACTCCATGAAAATATTATCGCATTCATTAACCCAATTTACACTATATCTATGCTTCACATACTGATAGGCTTCACATAATGATACACCTTACACACGTACCACATAAACAGCTTCACGCCCCACAGGGCCCACACCTACATTCATCCTGCAATGTAACAAGGGATGTCAAGATTCAAAGTTGAATACAGTTGGAAACAGTTTTAGAGAAACGAGTCACACTTGCAAAAAATACACACTTTTTTTTGTATTTAGCAGAGTGAGAACACACTCATTTCTGTGTGGTGATAAATATAATCAAATAGAACCCACTAGTAATGAGGATAGTATGTAACCGCCCATTGTATTGAAACCTGTACTAAAAGGGTTGAAAGGTCATTGTTCAGTGTATTTATAATGTGAAGGAGGATAATATCGAGTGTTGAAACGAGATAGGAGGAATATTCTGAGGGTAGACAGACACCACATATGAGGAATCTTCTGAGGGTAGACACCACATATGAGGAATCTTCTGAGGGTAGACACCAGATAGGAGGAATCTTCTGAGGGTAGACACCATGAGATAGGAGGAATCTTCTGAGGGTAGACACCATGAGATATGAGGAATCTTCTGAGTGTAGACAGACACCACATATGAGGAACAATTCTGAGGGTAGACACCAGATATGAGGAATCTTCTGAGGGTAGACACCAGATATGAGGAAACTTCTGAGGGTAGACACCAGATATGAGGAATCTTCTGAGGGTAGACACCAGATATGAGGAATCTTCTGAGGGTAGACACCAGATATGAGGAATCTTCTGAGGGTAGACACCAGATATGAGGAATCTTCTGAGGGTAGACACCAGATATGAGGAATCTTCTGAGGGTAGACACCAGATATGAGGAATCTTCTGAGGGTAGACACCAGATATGAGGAATCTTCTGAGGGTAGACACCAGATATGAGGAATCTTCTGAGGGTAGACACCAGATATGAGGAATCTTCTGAGGGTAGACACCAGATATGAGGAATCTTCTGAGGGTAGACACCAGATATGAGGAATCTTCTGAGGGTAGACACCAGATATGAGGAATCTTCTGAGGGTAGACACCAGATATGAGGAATCTTCTGTGGGTAGACACCAGATATGAGGAATCTTCTGAGGGTAGACACCAGATATGAGGAATCTTCTGAGTGTAGACACGAGATGGGAGGAATCTTCTGAGTGTAGACACCAGATAGGAGGAATCTTCTGAGTTTAGACACCAGATATGAGGAACAATTCTAGCTGGTGTTTGAGCTTAAGTGAGGTACATGGTTATAACACTGAAACAAAACGGCATAACCACGTCATCACTCGCTACCGACTACGACATCAGGACGGCTTACTATGGAAGTACCCAAATTATTTTCTTGGAAAGTCTGCTAGGTCTACTTAAAATTGGAACTGAAAACTTGTTCTAAGGACGTGCCTTCCATAGCACATGTGTTGTGACTATCGTCCTGCTAAATGTTGTGTGCAATTATGACCCGTGTGAATTTAAGTTGTCTTTATATCTTTGTTTAGCTCTAAATTCCCATAAAACCTGATAATGTATCTTTACATTTACAAACAATCAGCGCCCGATTTTTACATCAAATCATGCAAAAGTAAATAAAACTACAAAAAACTTGTTGTGTTTCCCGGAGTTTGAACAGAATATTCATTTTTAATTTAAAGCTAAAAAGATGTGTTGCAGGAAAATTTTCATAATAGTCTTGGTGAAATCATTTGGAAAACAATAATTCAAATATAACTTGTCTATTGTGTGTTCTGTAAATCTGGGAAGAATTTTCTAGGATTTCTTATTTTACTTAACATTCATTGGATAAGAACATGGAACATTAGGAGACAGTTTTACCAAGGATGGAACACTAAGTCTTAAGCTTTGTTATCTACTTGATTCAAAATATTTTTAATTGTAATAATATGTTTATTCCGTTTCGTTTTACTTTTTTTTTAACGTCAATATTTTCATTATTCCAGACATGTGAATTTATATCAATGAAGGAGTGATTATGTTTTTTTTCATGTTTTAAAACAATTTTTGATATTGCATATTTGTCTGTACATTCCTCGTGATAAAATGTACGACCACATTAAAACAATTCTAGACCAATAGAGGTTTTGGTAGCTAACAAATATTGTATAAGAATGCATTAACATTACATTACATTAAATCACACTCACTTTTAATTATATCATATCAAAGTGTTTTTTTCGAACTCTTCTTTCATTCCATACTCGTAAATAACATGTTAGGACATTTTATTTTTTCGCGCGAATGGTGAGGTGCAAGTATTTTTTCTCCCGCTCATGCTATAATAAATATAGAAAAATATAGAAAAGGGCAAACATCAGATTTATTCCCTACAAAACATAGCTGCAATAAATGTTAATTTGGTCTTAGCCAATTGATGACAAGTTATGGATTAAAAGAAATCAAAGGGAGATAATGAAAAAAAAATCGAAGTTTTACTGGGTATGAGGCAGCATATATAGTAGAAACATATTAATACATTTATTTGAGGTAACTTAACATTTTTTAATTTGGGTTTCTAAATTTCAAAATGATAGTTTTTCACTTAGCACTGGTAAAGGTTAACCTGCTATAAAGAGTTGCCCTTCGGTCGATGACTATGTGTCAAAGCTATTCAATGAATATGTAGAAAATAGTGATGTTTATCTTTTCAATGAATTATGTGTTGATTCAATCGTGGATGATGCACCATTTACCCTAATTCTAGGGCATGCGCACAGAGAATTAGACCTGTTATCCTAGGCATCGTTTGTAATTTCGTTTTTGTTTTATTATTATAATGTTTTGTTTGAGAGTACTTTCAATCCTTTGTAAATGTATATATTAATACCTGTGTTTTAGCTCTGTACATTCCATCTTATTTTAGTTTGTGTAACTTAAGACTGTTTTATTAATTGTACGAATGATAATTTTATCTGCCGAGGGAAAATGTACGCGATAGTAATAAGTTTAGGTGTCTACATGGTAATTATATGCTCACATTGCGTATTGTGATTTCCCTCCGATCTGAAATAACATTTAACCAAATTTTTAATTTTTAATTTTACTTAAAAAAATCAGTTTGTTTGGAGACAATTTACTGTGTGTCTTTTGTCGACATTTATATTGTGTAATGTTATTTTAAACTTAAAATTACTAAGTAAGGCAGCCATGTTATTACAACTGGTATATGACTGATTGATTGTCACAAGTCGAAATTTTTGGTGAAAATGGTACATTTTTTTCAAAACATAATTTTCGTTTTAAAATGAGAGTTTTTTGTGTAATGTCTTTTCTTTTTAGAATGACAGACAATAAATTGTGTACATTTTTAATGACAGGTTATAAACTATGTAATGTTGAATACTTGAATGAAAAAGAGATCAATTACTCGGTAAATTAGCAATGTTTAACGAGCAGGGAGAGCTACNCCCGCCCCACAATGGAAATTTTGACCCCCCACCCCCAGATAGGTCTTTGGATCCGCCACTGCAGTGTAATAGCCATTCATCATAAACTACAGCTCACTTTCATGTTTATATTGTATGAGCAGTATTAGCTTTAATCATCATCGTGCTGCATATATCTCAAAGGTTTACACTTAACGAGTAGCGAACGGAAACTTCATAATAGGATTTACCTCAAAAGTTGGCATTTTTTCTGTCTATTTTCTTTAGGTGTTTGTGTGTAATTTCTTCATAAACAAGTTTTGTGATGTATTGCAATAGTTGAATAGTCACATCCCATATCTTTTTTTATTTTTTTGTTTGCTAAAGGTATTTAGGTATCAATAGTTTTTTTCGGATATTCAACATGAACAATTTTAATTCAGGTATTGATGTGTGTTCCAACATTTTAACATGAACACAGTTTCCCTCGTCTTATATCAGCTGTGGTAAAAGCCTGGTGGCTCCTGTTATCTAATACATCTGCATGTCTTATGTCCACAACCTAACATCTATACAGGTTGTTTGTACGCCATCTGTTAAGGTAAAGGGTACCAGCAAGTTTAACTAGGCTATTAGTACTGACATTATTATGAAATATCCGTTTATAACTTTTTCAAAAGATGTATTTCATTCAAATCACGTTGCCATGCATTTGACAGAATTTTAGGTGTTCCGAATTTAAAAGTTTGAAATTCGAAATAACAAAAGAAAAAGTTGGGGTCGAGCTCTGGCCTTTTACGTTATAAAGCCTTCACTTTAACTGTGTTGCCATAGACAACTTATAAAAAAGATGGCATGGAAATTAGTGCTCAATTTATCAACAACAAAGCATATACAAATCTTGACAGGGGAAGTTCAAAAAAACAATTTGGCTACTTGATCTTCTATATAGAAGGGAGGGAACTCCAAGTTAAAACAACATGTGAGTGGAACTCTTCTTTATAGAAGGGAGGAAACTCCATGTTAAACAACATGTGAGTGAAACTCTTCCTTTTTATGTAATGCAGTGGTGTCCTTTACCTTAATTTATCTTTTTATATCAATAACATCGTCCTATGTATCCAGGAACTGTCTATTGTTACAAATAATCAAATCAATTCATATTGTAGAAAATATCTTAGGAATAGATGTTTAATCATGATTCACATAATTACACAATGACACAATGTCATAAAAGCTTGGTATGTATACATAATAATAGTGTTTGTTATAAATATATATTCCCTACTGAATCATAAATGTAAATAACTACTGTTTCAAAAAATTGTAAATATTGCATGTGTACATATGTATGATTTCTGAGGATCTATAGTGGTAAACAAATTCAAGTCATACGTTTTTTTATACATGAAAATCATTCCAATACATTTTAATAAAATGATATACTGATATAAATTTTAAAAAATTGTTATGATTTTAATTTGTGTTTACATATTATGTCCGATTTATGATAAGAATAGAGACGCAGTAAGTCCCTTTATTTTATTTGCTGTTATTTAACCCTTTCACCCCTAGGTAAATTTAGTGGACTCTACCACGCATTTATTGGGATGAGTCCATTATGGTCTACGGTGGTAAAAGGGTTAAACCAAAAAATCGGGGACTACTAGAGACGTTGGCTGATCGTGAATTACCAAATATTTATGCGCCTTTGTTCAAACGAAAATTAATATTTAAATATGATTTCAATATCATGGTAATAAAATATAACAAAGCTAGGTTTTAGCTGATTTTCCATTATATCGCTGAAAACCATAATAAAGAATTGAAACGGAGGTTATTTTTTCAAAATTTAAATTGGTTGAAAAGTACAAAAGCAGATATTTTTTGCATAAACCTAGAATTACGAAAGTTCCGGGGTTTTTTTCACAACGGAAGAGACATTAACAAATGAAGACAGCTAAGTGCAGGAATAGAACTAAAAGGATTTATCTAGTCCATACATATATATTGACAAAAACATATAAATATTTCATTGCAACTATTGGTTAAATATAATGAGAAACAAATAGTTTTTGCTTTCAGAACCACGATCCCATTAACACACAGTGTCGCTGAGTCATACATTTATAAGTCTATTTGTAATATCGCAATTATCTCACTGTAGTTAGGTCAAAATATACATCTTAATTACATCGACAGACATTGGATATCTTTAACAATATAAATAAGCATGATGATTAACTGTCAAACTCGACCATAGAGACATCCAGAGAAATAAAAACAAAACGAAAAATCATTCTTAACAATGTTACTCTTGTAAACGTGTTATAATCATGTATCCTAAAAACATAGATAATATCTAAGAAATGTATCACGACGCAGGCGCGTAGCTGGACTATAAATGATGTACATATGTACATGTAAAGTTTACTGTCTAATCGTCAGGGTTAGGGGATTTGACATCTAGAACCATTGTGGTACTATCTGGTGGCTTATGAGAGCAATGCTTGAGTGTTTGGTATGTTTTCTGTGTCAGATAAATTTTTATTGGTTTCAGAATTCCTGAAAATAGAAAATATAGTGTACAAATCCTGAATACATTATTGCTGGACAGAATTTCTCAGGATTACAAAATATCACAGGAAGTTCTCGAAAGCCATTAAATTCAAAATATTGTATTTAAGGATTTTAAATTACACGAAGCTGCTGATTGGCTTTCATGGCAGCTACGCGCCTGCGAAAATGATGATAAAAGGATACTTACGTAGCGCCTTGGAACACGCATCCATTATCAATCCACAGAAACATATAACTCCGAGGGGGACATGGACTTACAGAAGTCCTCATAACACTGATGTCCTCGTCAGTATCGCATGAGAAACAGAATGGTGACATTTTATTTCACTGTATACCATTAAATTCCAAGGCAATGCCACATGATGAACTTGTGCGAGACTTTCTCACTGTAAACACCTCCGGATATCCAGCGTAACGTTTCATACAGGGAACAAACACAATACACTGGAACTACTTCCCATTATACAGATATATGTGTCGGTCCACGGTAATCACTGAGGATCGCTCTGATGAGACATTAGATAACTATTTGAGGCAGAGAAAAAACCTGTAAGGTTAATGTCATTCTTATGAGAAATATCAAGTGGTAACACTATTCATTATCAAAACGGAAAACAAATAAGTATGTCATTGGAATCCAAATTATCGCTACCGTCAGATAACTGGGTTCGTACAGGTCTATAAAACCCAAAAATAATAAAAATGCCCTGTTAGCCCCTGAACATAACAAAACAGGATCAAAATAAACGATGAAATTTTCTAAATGCTCATTAAACTTTTATTTTGTATAACAGTTTTAGTGGTCCTGTATTGCTATTCTTCATTATAATGAAATAAGAAAATGATTTTTTTTTCGAGTTAGTTTCCAGATTTTCAGATACCGCCAAGCCTAAGGTTTTAGGCCTGTTTTGTATTTTTATAACGACTTCACAGACATCAACATTTCACTTCCAGGTTTTTTTTACAAACATTTCTAAAAGGCCGGACATTTTATTCCTTATTTATGAAAAAGTCCCTCAATAGGCCCTAAAAAGCCTTGAATTTCATAGTTAAATTCGTACGATCCCTGAGCTAATGTGCAAAATAAGACACTTATTCATTACATTTTGCAAGATGTTGGACTGTAACAACTTGAAAAAAAAACCGATATCTTTTACACTGTGACAGCTATCCAAGGTGTTGTATGTCGCAATTTGAATGTGTTACGTTTGGTATTGACCAATCAGGACGGAACGTTATCCGCGGCATTGAAAGCCGTTGCTTTTGATGCAGTTGTAGCGACGTTAGAGTATGTGGTCGTTTGGGTATGTCTTTGCTACTAACACTAAGATATATAATTAGCTGCACAATTGGTAACATTTTATAAGCAAATCTAAAGCCGATATAATTGCGTTTACTAGCCTATTCCAAATGGTGTGCATGAATATGGTGTCAAAGTTTACACTATTATTTCCCCCTTTTCTGATGCAGTAATATTTTTGTCGTTTTAGTAACTTCAAATGTCAGAAAAAGAATAATTTAAATTGTTTTCCGGTGAGTACAAATATTTCACTCGTATAGCAGTATATACATATATTTTAGGAAAATACTGGTACTCTAACTAAATCATGAAATGTATGGATCAATAATACTCAACGATAAACCATAAAATACCCTCTATTTTTGCCCACTCATTAAGACATGATACTTTACGTGTTTTTGTGCCTATGGAACGAGAAGCAACGTTTCGAAATAGTAAAAACAATATTGAAAAACAACATTTGAATATTGTTGACAAAATCATAAGAAAAAAATAGCTCGAGTCATTACAGTAAAAACGGCCTAGACATCTATGGTTTTGCACCTCTAAACTTACTTTTATATTGATAGTCATTAAGGGGAATATTAGCATGTTTTAAGTTTAATGTAATGAATTCGAGAGTTGCAGTAAATGATATGATTTATACTTGTGGGTACACTTCCGCCAAATTTTCGCTTGACTTGACTTTCCTTAAAAGCTTCTTTTCTTCAATTCCTTAAGCGTTGTTATTTCCATTTTAAGAAGCTTTACAATAGCATCCAACCAATGGCAGGGACAGACCATGCAGCAAATACCAACGGCAGGAGGTAAGCGACGATCTGATTGGATCCCGATGTTTTGAGGGAAGGACAGTTGTGTCCTTGACATTCTGCCGTTTCTAAAAATATAGCAGGTGCATTTATCAATACCAATCGACATCACAAGTATAACATATAAGTGTTATCTTGGTTGTTGCGCCACTTTCGCGCAATCTTAAGTTTGGAAATATGTGATATAAAAAGTTTTACTTTCTACACAAACAATGTACGTATTTAACGTGTCGCAACGTTTCAAGACCGACTGGTGCCTTAGTCAAACTATGACTGAGTGAGTGATTGTTATTTACAGACCACGTGAGGGCACGACGGCATGAAATCTTAATTTGCAGACCACGTGAAGGCACGACGGCATGAAACCTTAGTCTACAGACCACTGGAGGACAGAAAGGTATGAAACCTTAGTCTACAGACCATGGGAGGACAGGAAGGTATGGAACATTAGTCTACAGACCACCAGATGACAGGAAGATATGCAATCTTAGTCTACAGACCACGGGAGGACAGGAAGGTATGGAACATTAGTCTAGAGACCACGGGAGGACAGGAAGGTATGGGGCCTTAATCAATAGACCACAGGAGGACATGAAGGAATGGATCCCAAGTCTATAGACCACGGGAGGACAGGAAAGTACGGAACCTTAGTCTATAGACCACGGAAGGACAGGAAGGTATGCAATCTTAGTCTACAGACCACAGGAGGACAGGATGGTATGTAACCTTAGTCAATAGACCACGGGAGGATAGGAAGGTATGGAACATTAGTCTATAGACCACAGGAGGACATGAAGGAAGGAATCCCAAGTCTATAGACCACGGAAGGACAGGAAGGTATGGGGCCTTAATCAATAGACCACAGGAGGACAGGATGGTATGGAACCTTAGTCTATAGACCATGGGAGGACAGGAAAGGAAGGAATGGAACCTTAGTCTACAGACCATGGGAGGACAGGAAGGTATGGAACCTTAGCCTACAGACCACGGGAGGACAGGAAGGCATTGAACCTTAGTCTACAGACCACGGGAGGACAGGAAGGTATGGAACCTAAGTCTATAGACAACGGGAGGACAGGAAGGCATGGAACATTAGCCTATAGACCACGGGAGGACAGGAAGGTATAGAACCTTAGTCTACAGACCACCGGAGGACAGGATGGTATGGAACCTTAGTCTACAGACCACCGGAGGACAGGATGGTATGGAACCTTAGTCTATAGGCCATGGGAGGACAGGAAGGTATGTAAACTTAGTCTATAGACCACAGGAGGACAGGAAGGTATGGAACCTTAGCCTACAGACCACGGGAGGACAGGAAGGCATTGAACCTTAGTCTACAGACCACGGGAGGACATGAAGATATGGAACCTTAGTCTATAGACCACGGGAGGGCAGGAAGGAATGGAGCATTGGTCTATAGACCACGGGAGGACAGGAAGGCATGGAACATTAGTCTATAGACCACGGGAGGACAGGATGGTATGGACCCTTAGTCTACAGACCACGGGAGGACATGAAGATATACAGGAAGGAATGGAACCTTAGTCTACAGAACACGGGAGGACAGGAAGGTATAGAACCTTAGTCTATAGACCACGGGAGGGCAGGAAGGAATGGAGCATTGGTCTATAGACCACGGGAGGACAGGAAGGTATGGAATCTAAGTCGATAGACCACAGGAGGACAGGAAGGTATAGAACCTTAGTCTACAGACCACAGGAGGTCAGGAAGATTAGTCTATAGACAATGGGAGGACAGGAAGATATAGAACCTTAGTCCATAGCCCATGGGAGGACAGGAAGGTATGGAACCCTAGTCTATAGACCATGGGAGGACAGGATGGTATGGAACCTAAGTCTATAGACCATGGGAGGACAGAAAGGGATGGAACCTTAGTCTATAGACCACAGGAGGACAGAAAGGTGGGGAACCTTAGTCTATAGACCATGGGAGGACATGAAGGTATGGAACCTTAGTCTATAGGCCATGGGAGGACAGGAAGGTATGTAAACTTAGTCTACAGACCATGGAAGGACAGGAAGGTATGGAACCTTAGTCGACAGACCATGGGAGGAGGACATGAAGGTATGGAACCTTAGTCTATAGGCCATGGGAGGACAGGAAGGTATGTAAACTTAGTCTATAGACCACAGGAGGACAGTAAGGTATGGAACCTTAGTCTACAGACCATGGGAGGACAGGAAGGTATTGAACCTTAGTCTACAGACCATGGGAGGACAGGAAGGTATGGAGCCTTAGTCTATAGACCACGGGAGGACAGGATGGTATGGAACCTTAGTCTACAGGCCACGGGAGGACAGGAAGGCATTGAACCTTAGTCTACAGACCACGGGAGGACAGGAAGGCATGGAACATTAGTCTATAGACCACGGGAGGACAGGATGGTATGTAACCTTAGTCTATAGACCACGGGAGGATAGGAAGGTATGGAACCTTAGTCTACATACCATGGGAGGACAGGACGGTATGGAACCTTAGTCTACAGACCACCGGAGGACAGGATGGCATGTAACCTTAGTCTATAGACCATGGGTGGACAGGAAGGTATGGAACCTTAGTCTTTAGACCACAGGAGGACAGGAAAGTATGGAACCTTAGTCTTCTGACCATGGAAGGACAGGAAGGTATGGAACCTTAGTCCATAGACCACGGGACGACAGGATGGTTTGTAACCTTAGTCTATAGACCATGGGAGGACATGAAGGTATGGAACCTTAGTCTATAGGCCATGGGAGGACAGGAAGGTATGTAAACTTAGTCTACAGACCATGGAAGGACAGGAAGGTATGGAACCTTAGTCGACAGACCACGGGAGGACAGGAAGGTATTAAACCTTAGTCTAAAGACCATGGGAGGACAGGAAGGTATGGAACCCTAGTCTATAGACCATGGGAGGACAGGATGGTATGGAACCTTAGTATATAGACAATGGGAGGACAGGAAGATATAGAACCTTAGTCCATAGCCCATGGGAGGACAGGAAGGTATGGAACCCTAGTCTATAGACCATGGGAGGACAGGACGGTATGGAACCTTAGTCTACAGACCACCGGCGGACAGGATGGTATGTAACCTTAGTCTATAGACCATGGGAGGACAGAAAGGTATGGAACCTTAGTCTATAGACCATGGCAGGACATAAAGGTATGGAACCTTAGTCTACAGACCATGGGAGGACAGGATGGTATGGAACCTTAGTCTATAGACCACAGGAGGACAGAAAGGTGTGGAACCTTAGTCTATAGACCATGGGAGGACAGAAAGGTATGGAACCTTAGTTTATAGACCATGGCAGGACAGGAAGGTATGGAACCTTAAGTCTACAGACCATGGGAGGACAGGATGGTATGTAACCTTAGTCTATAGACCATGGAAGGACAGGAAGGCATGTAACCTTAGTCTACAGAGCATGGGAGGACAGGAAGGTATGGGACCTAAATTTACAGACCACAGGAGGACAGGAAGGAATGGAAACTTAGTCGACAGACCATGGGAGGACAGGAGAACCTTAGTCTATAGACCATGGAAGGACAGGAAGGTATGAAACCTTAGTCTTTAGACCACGGGAGGACAGGAAGGCATGGAACATTAGTCTATAGACTACGGGAGGACAGGAAGGTATGGAACCTTAGTCGACAGACCATGGGAGGACAGGAAGGTATGGGGCCTAAATTTACAGACCACAGGAGGACATGAAGGAATGGATACCAAGTCTATAGACCACGGGAGGACAGGATGGGGAGGACAGGACGGAATGGAACCTTAGTCTACAGACCACGAGAGGACAGGAAGGCATGGAACATTAGTCTATAGACTACGGGTGGACAGGAAGGTATGGAACCTTAGTCTACATACCATGGGAGGACAGGACGGAATGGAACGTTAGTCTACAGACCATAGGAAGACATGGATGCATAGAACTTCAGTCTACAGACCCCGTGAAGACACGCCGGCATGGGGCCTTCATCTACTGAACAAAAAGAGGACAGGACGGAATGGAACCTTAGTCTACAGACCACAGGAGGACAGGATGGTATGGAACCTTAGCGTGAAGACACGCCGGCATGGGGCCTTCATCTACTGAACAAAAAGAGGACAGGACGGAATGGAACCTTAGACTACAGACCACGGGAGGACAGCCATGTATGTACCCTAAGCCTACAGACCACAGGAGGACAGGAAGGTATGGAACCTTAGTCTACAGACCACGAGAGGACAGGAAGTAATGGAACCTTAGTCTACATACCACAGGAGGACAGGAAGGTATGGAACCTAAGTCTATAGACGACAGGAGGACAGGAAGGAATGGAGCATTGGTCTACAGACCATGGGAGGACAGGAAGGTATGGAACCTTAGTCTATAGACCATGGGAGGACAGGAAGGTGTGGAACCTTCGTCTACAGACCACGGGAGGACGGGAAGGAATGGAACCTTAGTCTACAGACCACGGGAGGACAGGAAGGTATGGAATCTTAGTCTATAGACCATGGGAGGACAGGAAGGTGTGGAACCTTCGTCTACAGACCACGGGAGGACGGGAAGGAATGGAACCTTAGTCTATAGACCATGGGAGGAAAGGAAGGTATGGAACCTTAGTCTACAGACCACGGGAGGACATGAAGATATGAAACCTTAGTCTATAGACCACGGGAGGACAGGAAGGAATGGAGCATTGGTCTACAGACCATGGGAGGACAGGAAGGTATGGAACCTTAGTCTACAGACCACAGGAGGTCAGGAAGATAGGAACCTTAGTCTATAGACCACGGGAGGACAGGAAGGAATGGAACAATAGTCTACAGACCACGGGAGGACATGAAGGAATGGAACCTTAGTCTATAGACCACGGGAGGACAGGAAGGAATGGAACCTTAGTCTATAGACCATGGGAGGACAGGAAGGTATGTAAACTTAGTCTATAGACCACAGGAGGACAGGAAGGAATGGAACATTAGTCTATAGACCACGGGAGGACAGGAAGGTATGGAACCTTAGTCTATAGACCACGGGAGGACAGGAAGGAATGGAACATTAGTCTATAGACCACGGGAGGACAGGAAGGAATGGAACCTTAGTCTATAGACCACGGGAGGACAGGAGGGTATGGAACCTTAGTCTACAGACCACGGGAGGTCAGGAAGGTATGGAACATTAGTCTATAGACCACGGGAGGACAGGAAGGTATGGAACCTTAGTCCATAGACCACGGGAGGACAGGATGGTTTGTAACCTTAGTCTATAGACCATGGGAGGACAGGAAGGTATGGAACCTTAGTCAATAGACCACGGGAGGACAGGAAGGTATGGAACCTTAGTCCATAGACCGCGGGAGGACAGGATGGTTTGTAACCTTAGTCTATAGCCCATGGGAGGACAGGAAGGTATGTAACCTTAGTCCATAGACCACGGGAGGACAGGATGGTATGTAACCTTAGTCTATAGACCGAACCTTAGTCTATAGACCACGGGAGGACAGGATGGTATGTAACCTTTGTCTATAGACCATGGAAGGACAAGAAGGTATGGAACCTTAGTCTATAGGCCACGGGAGGACAGGAAGGTATGGAACCTTAGTCCATAGACCGCGGGAGGACAGGATGGTTTGTAACCTTAGTCTATAGCCCATGGGAGGACAGGAAGGTATGTAACCTTAGTCCATAGACCACGGGAGGACAGGATGGTATGGAACCTTAGTCTACAGACCACGGGAGGTCAGGAAGGTATGGAACATTAGTCTATAGACCACGGGAGGACAGGAAGGTATGGAATCTAAGTCGATAGACCACAGGAGGACTGGAAGGAATGGAACCTTAGTCTACAGACCACGGGAGGACAGGAAGGTACGGCACCTTAGTCTATAGACCATGGGAGGACAGGAAGGCATGTAACCTTAGTCTATAGACCACGGAAGGACAGGAAGGTATGTAACCTTAGTCTATAGACCACGGGAGGACAGGATGGTATGGAACCTTAGTCTACAGACCACGGGAGGACATGAAGATATGGGACCTTTGTCTATAGACCACGGGAGGACAGGAAGGAATGGAACAATAGTCTACAGACCACGGGAGGACATGAAGGAATGGAACCTTAGTCTATAGACCACGGGAGGACAGGATGGTATGGAACCTTAGTCTATAGACCACAGGAGGACAGGATGGTATGCAACCTTAGTCTATAGACCATGGGAGGACAGGAAGATATGTAACCTTAGTCTATAGACTGGTCTACAGACCATGGGAGGACAGGAAGGTATGGAACCTTAGTCAATAGACCAGAGGACAGGAAGGGATGGAATCTAAGTCGATAGACCACAGGAGGACAGGAAGGAATGGAACCTTAGTCTACAGACCACAGGAGGACAGGATGGTATGGAACCTTAGTCTATAGACCACAGGAGGACAGGATGGGATGTAACCTTAGTCTATAGACCATGGGGGGACAGGATGGTATGTAACCTTATTCTATAGACCATGGGAGGATAGGATGGTATGTAACCTTAGTCTATAGACCATGGAGGACAGGAAGGTATGGAACCTTAGTCTATAGACCATGGGTGGACAGGAAGGTATGGAACCTTAGTCTATAGACCATGGGTGGACAGGAAGGTATGGAACCTTAGTCTATAGACCACGGAAAGACAGGATGGTATGTAACCTTTGTCTATAGACCATGGAAGGACAAGAAGGTATGGAACCTTAGTCTATAGGCCACGGGAGGACAGGAAGGTATGGAACCTTAGTCTATAGACCATGGGTGGACAGGAAGGTATGGAACCTTAGTCTATAGACCATGGGTGGACAGGAAGGTATGGAACCTTAGTCTATAGACCACAGGAGGACAGGATGGTATGCAACCTTAGTCTATAGACCATGGGAGGACAGGAAAATACGGAACCTTAGTCTATAGACCACGGGAGGACAGGAGGGTATGGAACCTTAGTCTACAGACCACGGGAGGACAGGAAGGTACGGCACCTTAGTCTATAGACCATGGGAGGACAGGAAGGGATGGAACCTTAGTCCATAGACCACAGGAGGAGACGGAATGGAACCTTAGTCTACAGACCACGGGAGGACATGAAGATATGGGACCTTTGTCTATAGACCACGGGAGGACAGGAAGGAATGGAACCTTAGTCTATAGACCACGGGAGGACAGGAGGGTATGGAACCTTAGTCTACAGACCACGGGAGGTCAGGAAGGTATGGAAGATTAGTCTATAGACCACGGGAGGACAGGAAGGTATGGAATCTAAGTCGATAGACCACAGGAGGACTGGAAGGAATGGAACCTTAGTCTACAGACCACGGGAGGACAGGAAGGTATGTAACCTTAGTCTAGGACAGGAAGGTATGGAACCTTAGTCTACAGACCACAGGAGGACAGGATGGTATGGAACCTTAGTCTATAGACCACAGGAGGACAGGATGGTATGCAACCTTAGTCTATAGACCATGGGAGGACAGGAAGGAATGGAACCTTAGTCTACAGACCACGGGAGGACATGAAGATATGGGACCTTTGTCTATAGACCACGGGAGGACAGGAAGGAATGGAACAATAGTCTACAGACCACGGGAGGACATGAAGGAATGGAACCTTAGTCTATAGACCACGGGAGGACAGGATGGTATGGAACCTTAGTCTATAGACCACAGGAGGACAGGATGGTATGTAACCTTAGCTATAGACCATAGCAGGACAGGAAGGTATGGAACCTTAGTCTATAGACCATGGGTGGACAGGAAGGTATGGAACCTTAGTCTATAGACCACAGGAGGACAGGATGGTATGTAACCTTAGCTATAGACCATAGCAGGACAGGAAGGTATGGAACCTTAGTCTATAGACCATGGGTGGACAGGAAGGTATGGAACCTTAGTCTATAGACCACAGGAGGACAGGATGGGATGTAACCTTAGTCTATAGACCGAACCTTAGTCTATAGACCACGGGAGGACAGGAGGGTATGTAACCTTAGTCTATAGACCATGGGAGGACAGGAAAATACGGAACCTTAGTCCATAGACCACGGGAGGACAGGATGGTATGTAACCTTAGTCTATAGACCACGGGAGGACAGGATGGTATGGAACCTTAGTCTACAGACCACGGGAGGACAGGAATGTATGGAATCTTAGTCTATAGACCATGGGAGGACAGGAAGGAATGTAACCTTAGTCTATAGACCATGGGAGGAAAGGAAAATACGGAACCTTAGTCCATAGACCACGGGAGGACAGGATGGTATGTAATCTTAGTCTATAGACCATGGGAGGACAGGATGGCATGTAACCTTAGTCTATAGACCACGGGATGACAGGATGGTATGTAACCTTAGTCCATAGACCACAGGGGGACAGGATGGTATGGAACCTTAGTCTACAGACCACGGGAGGACAGGAAGGTATGGAACCTTAGTCCATAGACCACGGGAGGACAGGATGGAATGTAACCTTAGTCTATAGACCATGGGAGGACAGGAAGGTATGGAACCTTAGTCTATAGACCACGGGAGGACAGGAAGGTATGGAACCTTAGTCTACAGACCACCGGAGGACAGGAAGGTATGTAACCTTAGTCTATAGACCATGGGAGGAAAGGAAAATACGGAACCTTAGTCCATAGACCACGGGAGGACAGGATGGTATGTAATCTTAGTCTATAGACCATGGGAGGACAGGAAGGTATGGAACCTTAGTCTATAGACCATGGGAGGACAGGAAGTTATGGAACCTTAGTCTATAGACCATGGGAGGACAGGAAAATACGGAACCTTAGTCCATAGACCACGGGAGGACAGGATGGTATGTAATCTTAGTCTATAGACCATGGGAGGACAGGAAGGTATGGAACCTTAGTCTATAGACCACAGGAGGACAGGATGGTATGTAACCTTAGTCTATAGACCACGGGATGACAGGATGGTATGTAACCTTAGTCCATAGACCACAGGAGGACAGGATGGTATGGAACCTTAGTCTACAGGCCACGTGACGATAGGAAAAAGCGAAGTCAAATTTGTTTTGTCAAAGTCATTGATCAAAATACCATAACTTACCGAAGAGTGTAAACTTGGCCTCACACGAGCCGTACTTGTTGTCAGCGGTGCACCAGTAGTCGGCGTAGTCGTTGGCCTGCACGTTTTTCACCAGTAGCGTATACCACATTTCCTCCAGATAATTTTGTGTGCCCGACAGCTTATCCGTCTCAAAGTTGCTGTCATCGTGTATAATCATTCGTTCATTATTTTCGTATCGTTTCCAGGACATGTGTGGTTCAGGATGACCTGCAGAATATTTGAATATCACAATGATACTGATTGTCCCGAATTCTGTTAAGGAAAATTGTCGTTTGTTTAATATATACTTATGATGTAAGATATAAAATTGTTCCGATTACGTCACGCAGACGACCATGTTACCATTTTGGTACATTATGACTATAGTTTTTTTGCAAAAAAATTCAATCTAAAATTCCAACGCTTCTTTGTACTTAAAATACACGACACCCCTATAGAGATGAAATAAGACAACTCTGGTACGGTCTCACCTTTGTAATCCTCAAAGGACAGGTATCAGCCTAGCGATTGCTTAGGTTTTCTTTTACCTGAGAACAATCAAACAGCTATGTTCGTGCCTTCAATTTTGCTATGACATATTCCAGGGGTGCAGAGAGCGAAAGTGAGCGTAACCCCTGGATATCGAGGATGGTTTAACGGAAACACAAGATTTCGTTTTTATTGGCCTCAGTCATATACTTGTATGTACGAAATATACTATTGACAGGTGAACATCACTCACACAAATATATGTACTCCAAAATGACGTCAATGGTGTACTTTTGCGCGAGAAGGATGGTTCATTAACGTGTGGATAACAGACAGCTGAACAACAGGAATATAAAAGACGTATGTCCAATATTGACGGGAGTTTAGATGAATTGACGGAAGATTGAACGTTACAGCGTTAGACATGAACAGAAATCACCAGATTAAGATCAAAGACGAGCAAAAAGGAAGGACGGCTTTCAGGGTCAATGACAATGACAAGTTTTTATTCTCGCAAACTGGTTACAGTGTAGAGAATTTACATCTACATATATATAGTACAATTTACATATAAATCATGGTGTTAATTGACAGTGTTAATTCGCTCAATTATGTGCTAAAGGAATTTTATAAGTGAAATTAAGTATATATCATTGACATAATCAAATATTGAAAGTACTATGTCTTTCAAAATAATATCTCGACATACATTTTCTTCTGTTTTGCAGTATCTGTCGGATTTTAAGAGTATTGGCGCATTTCATTTAAGCACAAGGAAGTGTAAGTACTGCTTTGAGATGCTTCTCCGAGATCATTAAACTCTTATTCCCTACATCTTTAACCTACGTTGATTACTCGAGTTTTTTCATCAAGTCGTGACACATTTACGGCGACTTGATATGGTACCAGCACGACTTTAAGTACCACGTCCCGGTTACTGAAGGGTTGGATAACTTTGACCAGTGGTTTATTATTGCCACTATAAAATAAGGGCTTTCAACGCAAACTTAATCCTCAAACCACACCAATCTGATCTGTCTAACAAATCTATAGCAGTGAAATGGTGTCAGCTGTTCTTGATTTTGTTGTGTTCAAGTTTGAAAAGTTTGCCCCCTCACCACTGGTTTACTCTTACCAACCTTTCGCAAACCGGGACCAGGGTCCGTATTCATGTACCGTTCTCGTGCTCAAACATGGCTTCTGTGCTCAAACCAACTTTCTTGTAACTCGCTTAAATCATATCAAACAATCAAAAAGGCAAGCATAAACATTGAAAACAGTTTTCGTCTTTAAGTCTCTTCAATATTTCCCAAATCATTGACAAAATAAGATCTACTTAGTAATCCATAGTCGTAACAGGAAATTCGGCTTGAGCACAAACTCCATGGTTGAGCATGAGAACGGTTTCCTGAATACGGGCCCTGGTCTCGAGCTTTGAAGCAATTAATCTTTTCTCTAACCTCGGTTAAGATCGTAGGCTAACTGCATCAGATAACGGGACAGAGCGGGGTTCAGCAAAGACAGATAAGATGGTCAACTTAGGTCAGATAAGGTGGTCAACTTAGGTCAGATAAGGTGGTCAACTTAGGTCAGATAAGGTGGTCAACTTAGGTCAGATAAG